CACATGGTACTGCGGATGTCAACCCAGACCTGCAAGATTTGCCTGATTTCAAGGCAGTTAAGAAGAACTGCACAGTGCAGAGCAGCACGTCACACTCATTCTCAGACCAGTAACTCTTCAAGTATTTTGCAAAATATCTTGAGATTCAGCACTTTAAGACAGCCTGAATCACATTAATTATTTCAGCTCTGCTAGCTGAAAAAAAAACACAACCCCTTACTTTATGAATCATTTTCCTCTTAGTTGATTTAGAGCTTTAACTCATTGGAACACAGGGGACTTTTCTATAGATGAAATAGGACACAGGCTGTTCTGTAAATTGCTACCAGGTGCATGTTACTAACCTGGGGAAATGTTCACAATTAGTCTGCCTTGGTTGACTTTACATGAAAAACAAAAAAAAGTTCAGTATAAAATATCCAGAATTAATTTGACACAGGGGCAAATTCTGTCACCTTCATTCCGCTTGAGAAGAAAACCAAACTGCAACTAAACTAATTAAAATGACAGAATTAGCCACTAATACTATGAGATGGAATTGGACTGACAGTTTTGCATGTCATAAAGTGCATCACATACGGTCAGTCCTGTCCTGCACAAACCACATGCCTGGCTGTGTAGGCATGGAAAATCAAAGTGCTGGTGCATGGATCCCAAGCATCAAATTACAAATGGATGAGAGCTATGGAGCACCTGGGTCTCCTGCTCACCTAAATGGGAGCTGCTACTTGCTTTGCCTCTAAAGAACTTTACTCCATCTGATTTGGCAGGAGATTTAATCTTTTAACTTCCAAAAGCATGTAGGATCAAGAACAGAAAAAGACTCATCCCTACTTTCAGCTGTCATCCTAAACTCAAGAAGACACTTGCTTTTCTGTATTCCTCTGATACTGCATCATGTGCCCTTCCCAGATCAAACATCTGGAAATAATTTATGAAGCAGACCTTTAATAAGTTCTGGCTTACCTAATAACAATAAATCCAATAAACAACAGGTTGCTCTGGGATTATATGAAGAACATGCTGAAAATTAGCATGCAACATATTAAGGCAAATTACTTAATTGAATACACACGGGATCAGGACCCTAAGTGTGGCTGAAACATGAACTATTAAACTGATATTCATCCTGGCTCGACTATCAAAATTGAGTTCACTCAGCAACAGCCCCCACCAGGAGTTCAGTGGTCGATGCCAATTTTTATCGCTATGCAGCTTGAGCAATATTTTTGATCAATTCCTACAATCAACATCTGAATGCGGTGGGTCATTATTTTTCTGCTGAAAAAACCTACTTCTCCAAACCTTGTTAATCAATATGCCCAGTTTAAGTTACTGTGCAACTTACACAGCTGTGCAAATAGCAGGAGCCGGAAAGCAGTCTCCAGAGCCACTTGGTTGGCATTGCCATTTATGTGAAACTCCTCGTCAGGTGCAAATTCAGGTTAATTGCAGCAGGGACAATTATTAGGTGCCCTCTGGTTGCTGATGCCTCTTTACACTAGCCTGGGGACTCCAAACCCCTGGTCCTTCCTGAGATTCTTCGCTGAAAACACCTCCCTGTGCAGAGCAGTGGCAGTTAAATTGTTTACTCCTGCCTGAGATGGTGGAAAATCACTGATGTGCCTCCTCAGGGTCACCTCGCTTGCTGGGAAAGTTTTGATAATTAGAGACAAGACTGTTTGCCCTTCCCTATTATGCTGGAGACTGCAGATGAGTTACGTTAAAATGACTGTGCCTTCTTTCCTCCAGTGTATATCAGCACCCCATCACACCAGCTCTGCACAGGTGCAACCTCTGCTACAGCAGCAGCCAGCACCTGCAAAAGGTGGGAGACTGGCCTGGAGAAATGGAGGCAACTAATGAGGGAAACGTAATGGGGCACTGGGGTATCTCCATTTATGAATCCTATAAACTGCTGATCTACAATTGGAGCCATTCTCTTACTGTACATGTTTCTGTAGTGCTGATTACTGCAGTGTCTGGGCATTTAATTATCCACAAATGATAACAAAACCAAACCAGGGGAGAACAAAATGTCACAGTGCTGCAAGTCGCCTTGTCAATCACTAGGCTTCATCTGCTTTCAAGCTCGAGAAACACCAAAGGTGGGGCCACTGAGTCAGGAAAATGGTGCTGAATTAAAGGATGGTTGTCTCCATGGTGGAGTCTGAGGAAAGCACCTGGTTGGCACGCTGAGTCTCCTGAGGACACTGTTTCAGCAGGCAGGGAGACGGCGGATGTGCCAACTCACCGTGGCTGCGAGGGAAGGGAACATGAGAAGGGAAGATCAAGAAGGGGAAAAGCAGCAACATCATGGAGTGATTCATGCTGGGACCTGAGGGAGGATGAAGCCCAGCATTTTGGACTGAAGCATGAATGTAAGAGATGGAAGATGATGGTTCTTAACCCGTTTTGATGTCCCTACCTGATTCACTTTTCTAGGATATTCCACATTTAAAAATACACCAAGCCATCCATCTGCAGGTGAACATGGTTAAAAAAAGAGACTTCTCTCTCTCTTTCTTTAAGCAAGGCAAGTAACACACTCCTATATTAAATGACACAACACTATTATTTCCTCTGCAAGGAGGACAGGCTGGCAGACAGCATGTCCTGCATGTTCCTGCTCTCATAGAGGAAATTAATGAGGACAAGTTTCCAAAGGATACTTATCACATTTTCACTCTAGGTTACTTCTGGGGGATGGAAAGGATGGACAGACTGTTAGTACAGTCCTGCAAGTTGACTTTCCCTAGGAAAACCAGTGCGATGGTAGATGCTTGGAGCATTCGAAGCAGGTACCGAGGTTTTCACATGAGGCAGAGGTTTTTAAACCTGCTCTCCCCCTTAGGCAGATTCATGTTCCTTGTGCTTGAACTTCTCAAAGCAGAACAGATCAATAAAAATTATGTTCTTCACTGTCTGATCCACAGTCGCTATTTCAGCTGCCACAGCTGCCACTATAAATGCCTTTGCAACTACATCTGGGAGAGATTTTCTTCCACAAGTGAATTTTTAGGATAAAACATCCCACAATTACTCAGTTCACTATTCTGCTAAATAATCTGTCAGGGCATAAAAAGACTCTTCAGCGTGTTCTACGACTAGAGGTAGCAGTTTATCTTGCTTTAAGTTACATTTGCACATTCTGCCAATCCCTGTAGTACACGATGAACACAGCCCTGAGTCACGGGATCGCACCTCAGCGGAGAGAATCAAAGGCAATTTTGGTAATCAAAGGTAATTCACTTTAACTAGATAATGTTAAAAGTCTCTCTAGCCAAATGGGGATTAACATGGATACCAGATTTATTACTTCTAAAAGGTAGAAACAAAAAGTTCTTACTGTCATTCCAAACGTACAATATTCATTAATAAATGCGATGAAGTTTTGCATGCAATCTATTTAGTGATGGCTCCTAGTTCAGTAAATTACATATTTATTGCTTTCACCATAAAAACAATTTATTTATTTATTTAAAAGCTGCTACTTACTCTTGAAGCTTTTGTTTTTAAATAACTGTAAGCAAATATATCATCACTGAGATCAATAATAAAATTGAAATGGCCCAGTGAGCTGAAATACCAGGAATATTTGTTGATTTAGGAGCTTTCATCATAAGGATTTCACATCTAAATATGGAAGCAGATTCATTCTTACATTAAATCTCTCTTTTTTCAAAACCTAAGTGCGTATTAGAATACAGAAAGGTGCAGCAGGTATTTCAAAAGAGTATGGATGTGCGTTTTCCCAAGTTCATAATCTCCAGCTGGAAGGATCCGAGTGATGCCCTGGGGCAGCCATCCCCATGCAGCCTCACCCACACACCTGCACACTGCCCAATCCTACCCCAGTCCCACACACACACACACACAGGCTTTTATGGAGATATCAGGAGTCTCTTTCAGCTACATTCTTGTCCTCGTTCCTCCTCTCCTTACTCTTGCTGCCAATTGAGAAGCAGCTGAAGTCTGACTCATGACTCTCTCACTCTCTGCCCTCTTTCCACATACCAATGCAACTCTCAGGTGTAAGCTTTTATCTCCAAGTGATCATTTCTCTAGGAGATATAAGAGAGACTTACAGAGCCCTCTGAAGCCACATTTACAGGGAAGAAGTAGTACGGAGCTTCAGTGGGCTGTTGGAGACCTCCTCAGACCAGGAACCCACTGGATTTGGCCACAGGGAGTCACAGATCCAGTTTAAGAGATGGCAAATATTCAACAGGATATGAGTGCAACAATAAATAGGTCAATTTTCAACAGGGAAGACAGGCTCTGGATGGTTTTCCTCTACATGCCTCTGAGAAGGATTGCTGCCTCAACACCCCTGCTGACCACTCAGTGCCACCATCTGCTAAACCATCCCAATCCCATACAAACTAGCAAGGAATCTACATTAGTCTCTTTCCTACCTGCTGCTGGCAAACCAGACAGCACAGTGGGGTGACAGGGTGGTTAACCTGGAGCTCCCCCATCACTCAGACTTATCATGACTGTGACTTGATACATGGTGTGACCCCATCTCTTCGCAAGGTCAGATCAGACTATTTATTTTCTGTACAGCCAGTTCACTACGAGTGACAATTTTTGCTTCTTTATAGAGACTGTTGTAGGTGTTATTGTGGGCTAGAATGAAAATCCCAGCGTGAAGGTTAATGTGGAAATCCTCCTGAGAGACTAATATAAAGCAATGTGCATTTCCTCCAACAGGCTATTTAAAAGATGTCAAGCACACAGATGCCATTCTCTTCTGCTCAGAGACACTGCAAATGTGACCAGTGAGCCATACTGGGCAGAAAGCATTCCCAATGGCATAAAAGATGAAGGATTTGCTTCTAGAGTAGGATCTCTGGAGATGCAGTATCTCCATCTTATGACAACTCTACCAGCCTCCCGTAGTCCCAGCTGATGTTAAGCAAGACTAGTTAATACCCGAAACTAAGCAAAAGGAAAATACACACAAACCAGAAGCGTTTCAACAGAGATCACTGTACCTAAAATAGCCACCACCTCGTCGTCCTGGATGACTTCCAAGGATCCTGAGACCACAAAGCAAAGAGCATCAACGCTCTCCCCGGCGTGATAGATGAGGTCCCCTGGGGCGCAGTGGATGGTCTGGAACTCCACGGCCAGGGCCCGCAGGCAGCCGTCGCTGGCCAGCCGGAAGGCAGGGTGCTCGTTGAAAACCTTCCGGTTCAGGTGCACGCAAATATCTGCCCTCATGTCCTTTGGGCAAATTGAGAGAACCTGAGCAAAGGAAAGACAGGGGGAAAACAGTCAGCTGGGACCCAGGACACCAGGCCACTGCTTTATGAATTAACCCAATGGATGGATCTGAAGATCCGCCTGGGGAGTGGATCTTGAAGTCCGTTCATCCCATCATGTCATAAAGCTTCTGGAGGGAGTTTTACCCTGATTTGGGGTAATCTTTTTCTATCCATCTACTGCTTTCATTGCAGTTGACGGTGTGATGTGGAAGATGGGACTATTCTGTTACACTGTGCTCATTCCTAACAGCTTTCACACTTGTTTTCCAGAATTGCAGGTGGCACTACTGTGTTCTGTTTGTGGTTATCCCTCCAGACTTGGTGCCCAGACTATCCTCCTGCTTCCATGCTCCATCCTTGCAGAAGCACAGAGCTGAAGGAGCTTGAAGACATGCAGAGACAGACCATTCACAACAGAAAACATCACATTTTGTTCACACCCAGAAAATCCAGGTCTCAAAAGTCTTGATGTGGGTGACCACTTACCGACACATATCCAGACACAGCCTGGGTTCAGTTTCAGTGAGACACATAAGAAATAACCTGCCCAGGAGGGCTTACAGACTAGAAAATCCAGGGAGATTAGAAGAAAAAGGAAGTATAATGAAACCTTATGAAATGTAAAGTAAAGGTGAGTGAAAAACTGTCCTGTGAACATGAAGACATCTCCATAGCAGACCAATTAAATAAGACCTTCAACTTGTTTCTTACCTTAAACAGCTTTCCCTACTGAAACAGCAACACAAATATACCTGAAGGAAGAAAGTGAAAACCTGTGCATCTTGTTAGGTTTGTAAACTGTCTGTTTAATTTTGTAAATGTTTGTAAACTGTCTGTTTAATATTTGCACAGCCTCCTAAACATTCTCACAACCCTCAAATGCCTGGCAGCTAATTGCACTGAGAAACATATAGAACCTTTCAATGTTTTTCTAGGACAAATCATAGAAAAGAGCATGAGACTAAGAGCACTCTGGAAGTCTCACATAAAGAAGACTGCAGATCGATAGTACTGATTAATTTCTCGCTGTAGGGAATTAATCTGGCAGCTTGCTCTGCAGATAGTGAGGGAGACAGGGACATTGGGTCAATGAATTGACCACTGAGTATTAGCAGAGAGAGACTCTGGTAACCCTGGCTGAGCTTTGAGGCAAATGGTCATGTTAATAATGAAGTAAAACCACGATTTTAATTTCTATTCAATGAAGAAGAGGTATAAAACATACTATTGCAAAGCATTACTAAAGGTCCTAAAACACAGTGTGTGAAAAGAATAAACAGCTTGTATTTTAATAATAATATTTAGTTCTTTCCTTATTTAAATATACCAAAGTTCCTTTGCGGTCAAAGACATAATGAATGCCAAAAGGTGTAATACAAGTTATTCTGTACTGTAACAGTCTGAGGTGAGAAGGGGCTACTGCAACCATCTGCACTAACCTCTTGCATTAACAATTTTCACATCAATCCCAGAATACCTGGTAAAATTATAGCCTAGAAGGCCTTGATTGAATGTTTTCAAATGAAATAGGGTAGTTGTTCCAGGGGATAGCTCCTCTTTCTTTCAAAACATGTGTTGTTTCTGAACTGATTTTTTTTTTTAATTTTTAGCCAACAGCCAGAGAATCTTATCATCTTGTTCAGATAAAAGACCTGCAATCATCAGGAATCTCTTCCACATGCAGATGTTTATAGAAAATGACCCAGTCATTTCTCAGTCTCATCCTAAAAAACCAAGAGAGATAGATGATGCTTTTTGTGCCTAACAGCATGAAGCACAGTATTTCTTTGGAAACTTCCCCTGCAAGAGGTTTTCTCACTTATAACCATCTTCCCACAGCTACAAGATAATTTTTTTTATTTATTATTATTTATGATTTAACACAGAGTAAGTCAATTTGGGTTAATGATATTTTTCTGTAACAAAATGTTGTACAGAACACATTAAAACACCCTGCATAAGTGTGTCTTATCATAAAAATTAATAATAAACACATTTGACAAGACATATTCTCCATAAACCATCATTTGCATTAGTAATAATGTCTTGTCTGAGTCACTGCTGACCATATCCTGTAACACATTTCCATAATTTTATTAGGGACAGATGTCAATTTCACAAACTTCTATTTTCCTGAGTCATTCCATTTACCATTAGAAATATGGACCCACCTTAGTTTTTCAGTAAAAAACAAAGATTACTTTGGAAAGTGATTGTTTCATCTCAGCCCTACTTCTAGATTGAACAAAAGTTTGTCTTTATTATAATAAAACAGAAATGTGCCATCTTTCTTCATCACAATAGTAACTTAATGAAAAATTCTGCTTTCTTTTGTACCGTGATTGATGATTTTTAACATTTTTATCTACTCTTGAGCCTAAATCGTGGTTATAAGTTTTTTATGTCCCTTTAAAACTTTCAGAAATGTAAGTGGTTTTAACTTAACGAGGTCATGAGCTAGGAGTTCTCAAACACTGCTCTGAAGAAAAATGTCTGTGTTCATACATGGCTGATTACTGAATTTTATCTTTCAAGCTTCCAAACTGCAGGGAAAATTGGTTAAACTATTGCAGAAGTTGGTCCTGTAAGATTCTGAGATGTTCCAGGCCCCTTTGTCTTTTGGAATGCAAAGTAATTGAGTCCCTCAAGAATAAAAGCCAGTTGGCTGCAAAGCAGCATACTATTTCCTCACAGATGCAGACTTATATACAGAGTATTAAAAGTGACCACTCGAAGAATTGCTCTTTTTATAGACACAAGACAAAACATATCTATTGTCACACACAGTATGAAGAGACAGAAAAACCCCATTGCACAGAAAAAGCCCACCTCAAAAAGCATAATTCAGAAATATTTCTGATGTCATGATAAAGTGATTCTCCTAATGACATATCATTGTATATAGATATATGAAGATATCACTTATCAACTAGTACAGCATTAAATGAGTAATGATCTAAGAGTTAGCCAGGAAAAAATATTCTCAATTTGAGTTGTCTTGCCTGCTACATAGATATTGAGGACAGAGAGTGAAACAAATGAAAACTAAAATAAATATTTAATATTAAAAGACATGGCAAGGTATTGTTGACTACCAGAGATAAATGTAAATACATGTAGGGAAAGAAAGAGACCAAAGGTAGAGAATTGCAACATTTATCTACTTGTTTACTGTATGCTCCAAGGGCTCCATGAGGCTCCAACCTGTCTCAGTAGTACTTCTTCTTGTGTTTACAAGTACCAGTGCCATGAATTCAGAAGGAGTCTCACAGATGCCACCAACTTCTCTACTCCTTGTACCTGACAAAGGGGCTGTTGGTGACACAGTAAGTAGTAATTTTCATGCTTCCAAAGAGAACACATAATGTGATATAGGATCACACAGAGGCATTTGGAAGCTAAGGATAAATAGTCCAAAGACCCTAAGATCAGAAAACGAGCACTTCGAATTCAGATAAATATTCATCTGAAAATGATCCCTTATTGACAAGACTTGGACTGTGAAATGCTCTTACTGAGATCTCAGCATTTTTAAGAACGCAACTAGAAAGATACAAACTAGTAACAACATGATTGTCCCTGAGTCCATATGGTGTCAAAATGCACACACATGGGCGTCAGAAAGAAATTTAGTTTAAGGGAGAGGATATCCTATAATGCTTAGTCATTTTTTTCACTGTAAAGCAAATGCCTCAAACACATCACGTTAACAGAATCAAAGTTCAGCCGGGACGTTTGTTCTACCCAGTGTGTTCCTTCAGCAGCTCAGCAAAAACCACCAAGACAAATTTCTTAAGAGGAAATTTCCTTAGAGGTTTGAAGACCTTTCTCAGTGAAACCTGTAGTTTATAAGGCAGGCAGGATATTAAGGTCGCTGACAGCAATGCTTTAGTAACGGATGGGTTTGGAGCTCACGACTTGGAGCGGGAAGTCTGCCGGGACCAGATGCTTGTGCTGCTACAGAAGTTGCTCTGTAATAAATCTGTAGCACAGACTTTGCAGTCATCTTTCCCATATGCATCCAAGCAGCATGAAAGAACAGAGCCTGCTATGTATCAGTGCAAAATCAGAGGAGTCTGAAATCTACCCAGAGGAAAATCTTTGCTGTCTGTATAAACTGTGATTCCCAGTTCACACAGACCCCAACATGACACCCAGTGAAGAGACTCAACACCACGATCATCTCTAGAGCACCCCATGGTACATGCAAAATGCTGATGGTGAGTGAACAGCTTGTGGGTGCTGCTAGAGACTGGGAAAGGCAGCAACCAGCTCTGGAAGACCCAGAAGGAACTGGCAAAAAAGGTCTCACTATCATCTTCTCAATTTGAGATCTGTAAAGGGGTGGGAATTAAATTCCCAAGGAGGAGGTTCCATCTGATTTTTTAACTCCCTCATCTATTTCCTCAGCATGGTCAGGCAGTTTAAGATAAGTCCCTAGAAAAGCTCAAAGAACTCTACAGGGAGAAGAGATTATAAAAAAGGTCAAAGAAAAGCAAATGAATGAAAACAAAAACTGTACAGATTAAGAGCATGTCCAAACAATATCTTTTAGGATGGGTTTACAGGTTTAAGTACGTGCTAAAAAATCTTCCCCAGCTGGAAAACACTACAGGATGGCTTAGCAGATATTACAGTATCTGTTAAGCCTTGTTAACAAAAAGGGCAGAGGCCAGTGAATCACGGACATTATCTATTGTCAATCTTCTTTCAGCACGCAGGATCCTCACTTTCTGGGGGTTGTAGGTAGGGACCATATTGGCTGATACTCAAGCAAAAAGCTTAGACAGTCTTTGTGGTGTTTTAGGAAACAAGGACTGTTTCCTAAATGAATAACTGTAACAAACATCAGAGATACTAAGAATGTCAGCTTTGAAAATACATATAATAAATTCCTCCAACTTCTTACCCATTTGAGGCCACAGACAGCTCTTTCTATTTTGTAGAGAAAGGCCACTCTGGGTTTTCAGACATATTCAG